TCTGTTTGGATTTCCTGCCTTGTTTTGCCCTGCTAAGCCATTGGCTGAAAGAGCTTTATTCATTAACTAATGGAAATAAAACATATTCACAGCATACAGAGGGGAATCCTACATCATGTCTGTCTGGGATGTGCATCCATCCTCCGAACCTTAGTTGTAGAGTAAGGCGCTGAGATCAGCTGAGGACCAGTCTTACTTTATCCAATATGTCTTTCAGCCTTTCATTATTGAGGGAAATACTCCCAAGAAACAACTTAAAAGAGAAAATGTTTATTACAGGTCATGGTATCAAAGGATGCAGTCCAGGATCAGCTGTGTAGAAGGAACAGCAGATTGCGTTCCTGCTGCCCGGCTCCCAGCCACCTGGCTAGCTTATACCCCAAAATAACAACACAAAAATTGTATTCTTTTAAACACTGCCTGGCCCATTAGTTCTAGCTTCTTATTGGCTAACTCTCACATCTTGATTAACCCATTTCTAATAATCTGTGTAGCACCACAAGGTGGTGGCTTAACAGGAAAGATTCTAGCCTACATCCATCTCGGGTCAAAGAATCATGGTGTCTGACTCACTTCCCTTCTTCCCAGCATTCTGTTCTGTCTACTCTGCCTATCTAAGCTGCTGCCCTATCAAAAGCCAAGGCAGTTTCTTTATTAACCAATGAAAATAATGCAGATGACCCTACTACATCACAGCTGTCTCCATGGCTTCTGACTGAGGTCCTGTAGAACATTATGATAAAAGGGCGTGGTGAGGAAAAGCTGTTTACCCCAGCAGCCAGGGAGCTGAGAGAGAGAAGGAAAAGTTCAGAACCAAGACACAACCTTCAGAGGTGTGCCTCAGTAGTCTACTTCCTCTGGTTAAGTCCAGTTTTCCACAACATCCCCACTTCTAAATACAATATTCAAATTTTGGATGCATCAGTGGTTTAAACCAATGATTTGATCACTGCCATCATGATCAAATCCTTTCTTAGAAATATCCTTAAAGACACACAGGCCTTTGCTTATATTGAGATAACTAAGTTTACAATCAAGATTAACTACCACACACAAAATTCATTTAAGAGCTACAGAGTTGACAACAGCAGGAAGCCCTGTCCTTTCCCACACTGATTGTGTAACCTCTTCACTTTCCTCATCTGTAAATGGAAACAGTAACAGTATCCATCTATGTCTCCTCTGGTTACTGTAGGGAATTACAGGCTGGGTGACTAAAAACAACACCTTGCATTCTCTAACTCTTGTGTAAGACAGTAATCTCAACTCAAGGTGCTGATAGGTAGGTGCTGCTCCCACTGGAGGCCCCAGAGAGGATTTCTGCATTTCTTCTTCCGGCTCCTGGTAGCCTCAACAGTTCTGACTCATGGCCACATTGCATCCCTCTGTGTCTTCACCTGCACATTGACTCCTCCTCTGTGGGTATAGATACTCACAGTTTCATACATATGTACAGTGTATCTATCAGATACAGCCCTAATTTTCTTTCCATTTCCTTAGAACCTCCCCACACAACCCCCTCCCACCTCATGCTCTCTTCTGCTTTTTCAATAACATGCTGAGACCAATTAGTGCTTCCCGTATGTACATGGGTAACCTATTAGCGGTCACACACCTGAAGAAAAACCTCCTTTCCAAACAGCCTTCAATTACCAATAGTCTTCTCAGCTAGCAGTGAGCTTCTTGACCATCAATACTGGAATGCAGGCTGATCTTAAGCCAGGTTGTATGAAGATAATCACAGCTCTTTTGAGTTCATAAGTCATGGCATCTAGAAGTCAGCCATCCTCCATTTTTGTTCTAGAATTCTATCACCTCTCCTGTGATACTCCTTGAGTTTGGGGGATGGGTGTGATATAGCTGTCCACTTAAGGCCAAGCACACAACACACACTTATTCTCAGTCCTCTGATCAGCTACAAGTCTTTGCACTGCCTCTTGTTGTGAGTGCAATTTTTCCGTGCATCTTCTTATTTCTAAGGCATTGGTGGTGACATTTAGATTACCCTATAAAATCCAAAATAATAACAAGAGCTTTTTCTTAATCGCAGCTGCAAAGTCTTTACCATGGATGGTAACATTCACAGTTTCTGGGGTTTGTGGTAGACACATATCTTCAAGACCCATTGTCAATTCCCTTGTGTTTTTTTTTCTAAGGACTAAAGACATAAGAATGGGTAACTTGGTGAAGAAAACATACACACATGTACACACACACACAAACAAAACAAACAAACTGGAACACCCATTGAAAGAACAAAAGAAATGGGAGTCAGGAAGGGGTGGAAAGAACTTTGACAAATGCTTTATGCCATGTATCTCAGGTTACTTTGAGGAGAAAATTCAGCACTTGTTTCTGAATATTACCGGGTGGGCAGAACTCAGCCCCCAGGAGAGCAACTGGTCTTGATCAACCACACGATCAGTGCCCTTCAGCTGGATTGTTGATGTTCAGAAACAGACCAGGCCTCTCCTGAGCTTGTATTAATATGTACAGCACCTCACTCACATGCAAAATTGATTTTTCTTTGTAAGCACAAAATGCAGCAGTTTGATAGTCTTTCTGTGCTTGACAAAGGCCATTTGTAACCTAGTTTCTCCATCACCCTTGCTGGCACCAGCTCAAACGTCCACAAGAACTCTCTTGTGCATTTGTAATTACAAATCATACTGAGGAAAATGTAATTTCCAGGAGAGATGCCCTCCTTTTTTATTGTGGTGGTTTGTAGAAATTAATGTGGATGTGTGTGTTGTTGTTCCTATAATTTTAGGATGGTGAGGAGGTGTCTGTAGAGCTGTCAGGCAAGGCAAGGAGGGGTATTTTAATCAGTGATGTCTATTGATAGACAAAGAGGCTGGGTATTTTCTTAGTGGAAATGACAGCAAGGTAGCTGATGTGAAAACTTGGTATCTTGTTCAGAAGGCAAGGGCATTGGGATTGCTTCTCCCTCAGTGGTTCTGGAGATGAGCTTAGCCCATTGAATAATGGGAATTAATAGGCATATGAACTTCAACACAAGATTTCCCATTTACAGAGATCCAAAGCAACAAGACACATAGAAAAATATAATACAGCCGAGGTCCTAAGAAGGTAGGAACTGTTGGGGTTTGCTTAGGGATTGAGAGTTCTATGCAAGGATGTGTACATGGCTGATGGAGGACTTGCCGTCTGTAGAGGTCTATCATTGTCTATCATTAGTTTTAGGAAAATCCAAGCATTTGCAGACTCACTTATTCACAGATGCTGAGACATAGTGCTGTTTAGGAAAACCATTTCAGTGACCACATAGAAGACAGTGTAGAGAAGCTGAACTGGTTAGGAGTCTCTCACACTGTTGTGAGCATACAAGTTGCTCACTTTGGGCTCCGGGGACAAGGATGCAAAAGAGATGAAGCTAACATAGAAAAGTACTACACATTTTTGAGTATTAATTGTGGGACAGAATCTGAAATGAGGTGTGCTTTCTTGCTTATGCTTCATATTAAAGCTTCACATCTAATCTGCAGTTACACTGTGCCCCTTTTGTAGACACAACACTGAAACTCAGAGAGGGTAGTACCTTGCCTAAGGTCACACAGCAAGAGCAACTGGAATTTAAAATCATATTACTGCTTTGTTTTATTTTTTTAAAATATACCTAGAAGTCTTTTTAGGTGACTATCATAACAAGAGACCTGGCTCAGGCAATAATTATAAATGGTACTAGCACTGTTGACATTAGTGAGGTTTAGAGAATGTTTCTTTTTTCTTTTTTATTGAAAAGAAAAAAAAAGTTTCTGCCTCCTCCCAGCCTCCCATTTCCCTCCCCCTCCTCCCACCCCTCACCCCCACCCCCCACTTTTCTCCACCACCCTCTCCAGTCAGAAGAGCAGTCAGGGTTCCCTGCCCAGTGGAAAATCCAAGGTCCTCCCCCCTCCATCCTGGTCTAGGAAGGTGAACATCCAAACAGGCTAGGCTCCCACAAAGCCAGAACATGAAGTAGGATCAAAACCCAGTGACATTGTCCTTGGCTTCTCATCAGCCCTCATTGTCCGCCATGTTCAGAGAGTCCGGTTTTATCCCTTGCTTTTTCAGTAACAGACCAGCTGGCCTTGGTGAGCTCCCAATAGATCAGCCCCACTGTCTCAGTGGGTGGGTGCACCCCCCATGGTCCTGACATCCTTGCTCGTGTTCTCCCTCCATCTGCTCCTCATTGGGACCTTGGGAGCTCAGTCTGGTGCTCCAGTGTGGGTCTTTGTCTTAGAGAATGTTTCTATGGAATCTGTGTCCTCAGCATCTTGACAATATTATGCTCGTTTGGTATCACAGTTCAGTGAAGAATTGTGGAGAAGATGATCGTGAAAGCCCTATTTACTACCAGATAAGAAGGTGATAGAAGTAAAGAATGTTATCCCAGGCAATAATGTTCTCAATGGGTCAAATAAGAGTCTGGTCCCCATCTGTGTGTGAGGTGAAAGATGGAACCTGTCATATCCTGAACCATAACCACCCTGTTGTCTTCCTCCTTAACAGTGCCCTGAAGAACTGAAACCCATGAAGGACGGCTCAGGATGCTATGATCACTCCAAGGGCATTGATTGCTCTGATGGCTTTAACGGAGGGTGTGAGCAACTTTGCCTGCAGCAGACACTGCCTTTGCCCTATGATGCCACCTCCAGCACCATCTTCATGTTCTGCGGGTAAGTCTCCAACTCCATGGTCCAGAAACTCCCTTATCACTGGAGGGGATCTGTGAACAAATGCTCAGGAAATGCTGCCTGAGCAGGCTAGGGCTGACCTGCAGGGACATGGCCTTTTTCTTCTTTTGATTCATACCCTGTTGGGTGTGTAAAAAAAATGAATGGGTGAGAAAACTAACGATGAATGAGGAGCACATACACTCATGTGTACTAAGGTACAGATGTACCATTCTGGTCTGTGTCCCTGACCTTTCTCTTGACTTTCTTGCAGTCCCGTCAACGTACATAGAGACAGAGTTAGGGATGTTGAAGGTGTATATATAAGTACACACATTGGCTCTGCCAGGTTGCAAACTAAGGGACTCAGCAGTTTGGGTTTTACTGTTTGGCCTGTTCTGGCCCTATGTCCATCTAGGTGGGACAACTACTGGGGAGTGACACAAGTTAAACAAATCACAGAGGAAGAGCTTCTAGACAGCTTCTGGCTCCTGGAAAGTTCAAGCCCAGGTGCTTTTGCTACTACTTCTATTTTTTTCATTTTTCCTTTGTTATTGTTTGGAGAAGGTTTGGCATTGAACCCAGGACTTTCTCTGCCACTGAACTACATCCCCAACCGAACAAAATGAGTTTAGAACTCAACATAAGAAATGAAGAGGAGAAAAAAAGAAGAAAAAAATGAAGAGAAGACATTCAGGTTCCCTTTTCCATGGCCTCTGTTCTCTCTCTAGGCTGCAGTGTACCTACCTGGGAAAGATGCTATTCTCACACCCAGGGTGAAAGATGTTTCTTTCGAGTGGCCGTGTGACTACACTTGAGCTGCAACCTTGCCTAGAGTGGTGCTTGTTCCTCAGTAACCTCTCAAGAAAATAACAGCAGTTTTGTTTTTCTTCTCTGATTTCTGTTCCCTCTCTGATTTGCTCACCTTGGCCTTGGTGTCACCTAAAGAGTACTGTGATTCCTGTAAGAAGTACACCAGACTCTCATTACCACGCAAAGCAGCGCATTGTGCTCAGCCACCTTTACAGTCCTGGGCCTCACAGACAGAAGGTGGGAGCAGGCAGGGCTTTAATTCCAGTTTACCAGAAAATTAATTTAGCTTTCATGGTTCTAGGACAGAGTTACATACTTATTTCAGGGTCCCCTTTCCTGCTCTGCTCGAACTCGGGGCTGCCGGTGCCTTCAAGCAGGTGTTGAAGCAGCTCGCTGGAGGCCGTAGATATGCATTGATAAAATAAATAAGAAATAAATTAGCGTACGCAGACCTGAATTTATGGCAGTCTCTCCTCAGCTTAAGTGACTGCCAGGCAGTGTTGAGTAAATTATGCATGGATTCAGATCTGCGGGCTTGCATACGGAATCAGCTGTGTTCTTATCATTGTTATTTTCCTCTCAATGCACTTTGTGGGAGGGTGTTCTGCAGAAAATAACAACAGTCACAGCGGCAGCCAGGGGAGTAATGGATTTTGACTTCAGAAACCAGCACTGCCTTCTACCCAGTGTGCACTGCGGGGCGCCTTGGATTCAATAGACAGATTCCCAGGACCACCTCTGTCCTTTAGGCGGTAGCCTCCCAGGACTCCCCAAGCCTCCTCGTCTGTAATGCTGATGATTCCTGTCTCAGTAGAAAGATGGCTGTGGGAAGTACGAAGCAGTGCTTGTCTTACTGTCCTGCTAAGCAGCACATTCGAAGTCATAGCATTGGTAATGTAGCTTGTGGCCTCCTTGCTAGGTGGCCTTTGGTGGATGAGTCCTCATTCTTCTCCTCTGTAACATAAGCAGAGCAGTCTCCCTGTGTTTGGTTGCATAGGGGATGATGCGTTGTCTACACCGCTGAAAGAGCCTCCAAGCTACATGCTGAGTGGGGCACTGTAACTACACCACATGGCCTGATGACCTCTGCTCGCCCCGTCCTGGTGACGTGATGCCCTCAGCTTCACTCTGCAGGTCTGTGAAACTAGACTTAGTGACCTTTCGTGCCATGAAATTTCTGTGAAAGTGTTAAACAAGATTGGATTAAAGCATGGGCAAGCTGTTAGAGCCCCTTCACTGTTGGTAAACAGGGCAAAAGGAAACGGAATGCAGGCTTTCTAAAACCAACTGTAGTTTCCACAGCTTTGGGAATTGTCTATTAAAGATGCAAATGAGAAGCTACCCACACTTGTTAGAAGCCCTGTAAACAATGAAGGCTATTAGCAGGTGCTTGTGAGAGACTTGGCTGGGAGACAAGTAAGATGCTGTTGAACTAAACAGGGTAAACAGAACAGCCCCCTCCCTTGCTCAACTCGGCCTAAAGCTCTGTGACCTTTCTAAGGCTGAAACAGTCTGCTTGCAGCGGGATTGGTACCAGCAGCACTGCTTAGGTGTCTCAGTGACTGCTCGTTACTGACGACTCTGCAGGAAGGAGCAGGTATGATTTCTCCTTTACTGACTAGAAAGCCATGCACAGAGTGCCTAGGCTCAGGGGCCGGCCCCAGGTCACGTAGCTGGTGATTGGTAGGCATAGGGATTCCAACCTAGGCTGTGTGGGTCTAGTCTCAGGCAAGACAGATCTGCTATTGGTTGCCAGCCCTGAATATAACCAGTCAAGTGATCTTGGAGAAGTGACTCAATGTGTTTGAGCCTCTGTTCTTTAATGTAGGACCGGAAGTGACTGTACACAATTGTGTGGAATTTAGTAAAATTACACAAGAAGGGAGACTGGCCCATGGGATGAAGGACTCAGCAAGCTGTTTAATTATTAGTTTAATCAGTAGAAAGCTGTAGCATTTAAGTAGTCACCGACTGGATTTTTCTTTGTTTGTTTTTGGTACCAATGATCATCAGCTGTCCAGGTACCAAAAATTAGGCTTTTGAAATCTCTTGAAGTCGATTCTGCATGCAGAGCAAACAAGTCCCCTACCTGTGCCACCAAGACAGCAGCCCTTTTCCAATGACTGAATTTTATATTGTGCTTCCTGCTCTGCATCCAGCATTCAGAACAGCATCAGCACACAGTGGGCACTCAACTTGCAATTATTTTTAAAGTTCTGGATGTAAATCAACATAAGGCATTGCTCGTTTGACCTTTTTATTTAACATTTCCATACGTCCCTCGTTCTGTGCCGCACCTACTGTGCCAGCCTCTACAGTTCTGATGCTGTTCTCTCTGCAACCCCACTTCTTCCTGCACCTAGATCATCACATTTGTACCCCTGGTCCTTTAGCCTGGACATCTCTTTGTCACCTTATAGTCTTTTTTTGGTTGTTCGCTTGTTTGTTTGTTGAGAGAGACAGAGTTTCTCTGTGGAACTCACTCTGTAGATGAGGCTGGCCTCGAACTCAGAGATCCACCTACCTCTGTCTCCTGGGTGCTGGGAATAAAGACATGCTACCACCACCACCTACTTTCTATTTTTAAGGCAAGCAACATCTTCTTCAGCAAGTTCTCCTAAACATCATAGAATTCATAAATGAGGTATACTGTTACCTCAGTACTGGGTAATAATATCAAAGCTTTCAAATAAAGACTACTTAAATTATGGCTCAGTTTTCTGAGAGATCGCCAGAAACAATCTACCTCAAGAACCAGCAGCACCACTTTTGGGTATATAACTGAAGGAAGCTCATTCACACTACAGGACATGTGCTTAACTATGTTCATAGCAGCATTATTTGTAATAGCCAGAACCTGGAAAAAACCTAAATGCCAATCAACTGAAGAACGGATAAGGAAAATGTGGTATATTTATACAAGGGAGTACTATTCAGTCATAAAAATACTGACATCTTGAAATTTCCAGGCAAATGGATGGATCTAGGAAAAAAAAAACATATTGAGTGAGGTAACCCAGACAAAGAAAGACAAATATAATATGTACTCACTACATGTAGCTTATAGATATAAAACAAAGAAAAAACTAGCCTACAATTCACAACTCAGAGAACCTAGACAACAGAGAACCCTAAGAGATACACACATGAATCTGAACAGGAAGGAGAAAAAGACAAGATATTCTGAGTAAATTGGGAGCACGGGGTCACAGAAGAGGGTAGAAGGAAAGGGGGAGGAAAGGAGGGGAATGGGGAAAAATGTATAATGCAATGAAAAAGAAAAAAATTATGACTCCGTATTTACCAAGTGGGATCAGAGAACATATAGATCTTTTCTCCTTGTCATTCTTGTGTTTTTGTGTCTAATATATTATATGCATGCATATAATTATGGATACTGGCATACAGAATGAAGCATTCAATAAACTATATAGTCAATAATCTAAACTTTTTTTCATTTCTACCCATTGTCTGGTAAAGGAGAGGAATACTTTCGTTTGCCTGTAATTCGGGGAAGGGAGTGAGGTAGGATCCCATGTCCAGAGACAACCTTAAACTCCAGCTTTTCCATATTTCCACCTTCCAAGCTTTGGATTACTGGCATGCACTACCATGTGAAACATTTGCAGCAAACCTAATTTTACTCATGATACCTGGACATAGCTTACAGCCTGGATCTCTGGTTAACTGCCCAGATTGCCTGTCTTTTGCCAGAACAACACATCCTGTCACAGTTTCCTATCTAGGGAACCCCTCCTGTATTCCTGACTTACGTGTTTTAGTTGTATCATAAAACTATGGACCCTTTGAGAAAATGAGCTATTTCTTAGCCACCTGTGTGTCCGTCTAAGTCACTGTTCTGTTGCTGTGGAGAGGCACCATGGCCAAGGCAACTCTACAAAACAAAGCGTTTAACTGGGGGCTTCTGTACAGTGTCAGAAGTTTGGTCCAGTATCAACCTGGCAGGAAACATGGCAGCAGACAGGCTTGGTGCTAGGGAAGTAGCTGAGAGCTGCATCCTGGTCTATAAGCAGAGAGGGGGATGGGTATAAAATCTATCCCAAGGGCACACCAGCTAGAGCACGGTTCCACCTCCTAATCCTTCTCAAGCAGTATGGGCATATGGGAGTCACTCTCATTCCAACCCCTGCGGTATCAGCGCTACTCTTTTCTAAGGCTTGACTCAAGGGCTTCCTTGTGTCCTCTCTGTGTTTTGGATTTTATTAGATGCTAACATTGTAGTGTAGCACTGATCACAAGTTCTTGCCCACCAAGAACAAGTAGAATACTGAGCGCAGGTTGTTGAATCCTGATGGATGGGAACAGAGCAGAGGCCAGGTAACCATTGTGGCTGGCAGAAGCTTTGGGGTAGGTCCAATGACTCCAATTGGACTCTAATCTGAAACATTTAGATTGAATCTTATACATGGGGAGGCACTGCCTTCTGTGAAGACCCCAGCAAGTTGCCTAGCAACTGCATTTATGTGCTATGTTTGTGTGGGTGTGTTTACAATGTCTACCACACACATTTCCAAGAGAACTTAACTTTATCCACATAAATCTGATACATTTTTTTCTAAGTTGCTAATGTAAAGATAGAGTTAAGCAGGAGTATGTCTAAGGAATGGAAAGGGAGGAGAGAAAATAGTGTTGGGAGTCTGACAGCAGAAAATCACTCAACAGAACGAATTTAGCTTTGTGCTCCTTGGCAATGGAAGTAAACAGTTAAAAAAACACATGAAAACAATACAATCGATTATGTAGTTATCTTTTCCTGAGAAAAAGATTCTGCTGTTTGTTTTTTTAATCTGTTTTAGGGGTGTGTAATTTCTTGGTGTTATTAACTGAGACGTTTACCCACTTGTTCCCTTGTAAATAATGGTGAGAGTTTCTTCAACAGCTTTGAAGCTTCCATATTTCTCAGGGTGGCTAGAAAGAAAATCAAGGCTCACAGCCACATAAACTACTTTTCAGTGGAAAATTTAGGACTTAGAACTATCCCAAGTATTTCTCAACTCCAACTTTAATGAAAATATATTTATGGTATGAGCACTTGTGGCTCCGCTAGAGGAACCAGGTTTGTTTTTCAGCACCTACATGGTATCTTGTGGCCATTTATAACTCCAGTTCCAGGGGATCTGGTGTCTTTGTCTGACTTCCGTGAACATCAGGCACACGTGTTTCTTAAAATCATACATGCAGACAAAACACTCAGACATATGAGATAAATTGATCTTAGAAATTGGTTTAAAAGAAAGTGTATTTACACACCTGGGCTCTGAAACACACCATCCTCAGATCATCTTAATTGTCCTTTGGGTTGAATGTTCTGTTGACAAGATTTGGAGAGGGAGAGGAGACAAATGCATGTGAGAACTATCTGCAGCTAATGGGAATTCCTGATTTTCATTCCCCAAACTAATGTCTGCGCTGGATTTAGACGATACTGAACTAGGGACTAGAGACACATGATATGATTGTGAGCATTGTAGAGTCATCCACTCAAGCCCTTGTTTTGTGACACTTTCTGCCCAATGGGCTAGAACAGAGCTCTCTCCCTTTGCATCTGAGCTGGAGGATGTAGACACTACCTCTAACCATATTAGACACTCTGCTTAGTGCTTTGACCCAAAACTAAACAGGAAGCAACTACAGAGAAGAGGGGTTTATTGTGGCTCTACGTTAAAGGGGACACAATCCATTCTTAGTGAGAAGTTTTGGTGGCAGGAGCTTGAGGCAGCTGGTCACATTGGTTCCCTGGATGCAGATAATGAACAGAAAGAGGAGGGAATGGCGCAGGCTATTGAAGGTTCCAGACCCTTCCCAAACAGCACCTCCCGCAAGAGACTAAATGTTTAATACATGAGCTCACAGGGGACATTTTACATTCGAATCACAGCACTGAGTTAACACTGGATGCCTACATGCTAGAGGGGAACTTCTAGTATTGGGATGAAGGCTAGGGTCTCAGCAAGTTAGACAACTGAGATATATATGAATACCTGATGCCAAATTCTTATCAAATATTACAGCATTGTGCTGTTCATTAAACATTTTCAAATTATCAGCATATTGAGGGAAAGACAAAGTCTTCCTATGGGTTTTGAAAGGCACTTTCTTATAGGCCATGGGAAATGCTGGTTCTGAAAAGTGGCCCAAGGTTTAAAAACCATGAAGCAGCTGAGTGTGAGGCTCATTGAGGAAAGTCTATCCTTCAGGTTTCTCGTGTATCTGTAGGTAGACAGTACTACGATGAGTTCTACTGCAGAGAAATGTATGTTCATAGTAAAATGCATGCATTTCCAAATTAACGCTTTACTAATGATTTTGACAGAGTTGAAGTGTTATTCTTTTCCTTCCCTGGTGTGAAATGCTAGTGTTTCTTATACTTATAGAGAGGAAATTATACTATTTAATTAGCCTTGAGCATCCAGTGGAAGTTGTCATCCTTCCCTTCCTCCTTTCTCCCTTTCACTCAGTCCCCTTCCATCTCTCTTCTTTTTTTCTCTTTCCCCTGCTCCTCCGTTTTCTTTGCTTTCTTTCATCTTTTCCCAAATATACTTGAGTACATTACTTCCAAAATGATTTTTTTTCTCAACAAACTTACCTTTTTCTTTAATTATAACATTAGGACCAAGACTATATGGAAAAAAAATTACAGGTTTTCATTTTGGTTAACAATGGGCCAATTCTGAGATTCCCAATTAAGAGAGGCTCCTGTAATGCTAACTAGTGGGAATGATGCTGTTGAGGTCCATGGCTACTGACCCTTCTGAGTGAGTGAAACCGAGCCTGTTCCTATGTTACCATGGTCATCAGATTCTGAGTTCATCCTATATTGGTCCAAGTCTCTGGTATGCATTTTCTTCCATTCCGTTTAGCCTTAACTTCTTTTATTTTCAATCTTTCTGTAAGTATTTTATTCCCTTCTTTATTTTAAGAAATATTTTCTAGTATTTCAGTAAATAATTTTATTAGCCCCATAAACCATTGAAAAATGATGGAATAAACAATCCAAAAATCACAAAAACAAAAATAAAAAGTATGTGTTTTGAAAATTTGACTGTTTTCTGTAGGTTTCTGGGCTTTTTTTTTTTTCTTTGAAAACCCAAGATGC